CTTATCTTTAATTTACACTGTCAATTAGTTTTACGTATTTCCGGTATTACGAAAATATGCTACAAAAAAAAACGTCTCAATGTAAAATTCTCATTGTACCTGAAGAAGTCTAGTTTGGCCAGCAGAAATACAGTACACCTTCAAAAAATCATCCTACGTTGTGTCGGTTTTTGCTTTTGTACTCTGATATAGGGTCAGTTTTATTGTTGGTCGGGTTACAAATAGAGTGTAAGGAAAATCGCAGATTTTGGTCTTAAATAGGGGTAAGTTTTGGAAAGTGGGCCGCACGCCCCCACCCAATTTTTCTGAGAGTACCCCCGGGCTGAAATCTTAGTTTTTCAATTAAATTGTTGACAATTTCTCGACTCTCAGTCAAAATTTCAACCCATTCCTCAGCTATCAGTGACTTTTTCAGATCCCAGATCTCAGCTATAAGTTAATAGCCGACAGCAGGAGCTTGACTGCAGGTTCAATTCTCAGCCAGTAAATCTTCCCCACTTCTCCCACCCTCGGCCACGCGCTTGGGCCATTCGATCTCCGCGACTCAAAAAAAAAAAAACGTGAAGCTGTGTAGTATGTATATATTTATAAAAANAAAAAAAAAAAAAACGTGAAGCTGTGTAGTATGTATATATTTATAAAAACGTAGGTCAAAACCTTCGGACTAGTTCCTTTATTTTTTAATACATTTCATTCACGTTTTTCCATTCAACTTGCTTTCCTATGAACGCTGCTTTTGAACGTCATCGCGACGCCTGTTAGAAACACAAGCTCTAAATGGCCTCTTAGTTTTGGATATGGATAAGGAAACAAAGAGTAGCATTGATATTTCAACAAAGGAATTAGTTTCTAAAGGAGCTGTTGTACTGCGGCGGGGGGCAGGAGGGGGGATGGGGTGTTGTACTGCGTTGGAGGGCAAGTGAGGGACACTTTGCTGTTTATCAACTTGAATTGGATAGTCCACTTTGCTGTGACGAAGGGCTGATGCTCAAAACGTCAGCTTCACGAATTTTCTACGGCAATTAACTTATCTTTATCCATTTGAAGGCGATAATAAAATGGCTAAGTGACTGACATTTCAAATTGGGTTTGAGTAATTGTTGCTCTGTTTGCTATGTTTTATCGAAGAAATTATTTTCAAAGAAGCACCGATAAGCGGCGCTTTTTCGAGATACGCTGTGTCCGAGAAAGATTGGGAATGAGTTCCGCGTTCCCGCCTCGCGAAGATCGAACGTAGAAAAGTTTATGCACAAGAGCATAATTTTCACTGATCTGCAATGCCACCATGCGTGCTTCTATCGTGTTTCTCTGTATTTTAGTTGCATTGCTAGCTATAGTTTTTAACAGAATATACCAGAGATTGTTCAACGTGTTCGTTCCAGACGATTTCCCGAAAAATTCAACATGGCAGTTCCGGATCGTAGGATTTAGCTTCGGCCTGACCAAAGACTTGGTAAGTTGATCGAAAAATCAAGCGTGATGTGTTGTTGAACGAGAACATTTTCAGGCAGTGGAACAGTTAAGTCTTTTTAAAAATACAATACTGAGATGTCTTTCCCGACGCAGGATGGTGACTGAAACTGAAATATACGAAATAATACTAAAGTTGCTTGAAACTTTAAAATAAGCTTAAGCTCAAGCTTATTAAGCTTAAATGCACGATAATGAGTTGAGACAACTTTTAACGTATTTTAACTTGAAATCTGGTATCATTGGGTTGAGTTGTAATCCAAACACGTTGGGTTGCCCGAAGTTCGTATTAATTTATCCAGGGTAGTTGTAGGGAGGGGTGGGTGCGGATAAAACGTTGCTATTCAATCACTGAATATTTAGAATAGTGATAGAACCCAGGAAAATGTTTAGTTTATATCCTGGGTCTATAGATATCGAGGGTAGTTGTTGGAAAGGAGAGGCTGTGGAGGAAACATTGCCATTTTGTCAATTTCTAAAGATTCTTGAATATCAGCTTTTATAATCCATTAAATATTTTTGCTCGTGCGC